GGCAGAGTCACTCAAGAGCACCTGCCTAGCAAGCGTTGAGGCCCTGAGTTCAAATCCCACTGTCACAATAAAAAAGGGAAGGGGAGGAAGATTTGTTCAATATCCACTATGTGCTTGGTGCTTTATGTAAGATGTTTAACTCTAGTCAGGCACGGTAGCATACATCTATAGTCCCAGCTATTCAAGGAGGCTAAGGCAGGAGGATCACTTAAGCCCAGGAGTTTGAGATCAGCCTGGACAACAAAGCAAGATCCCATCTCTGAAGAAGGAAAGGAAAAAAAAAAAAAGGCTTAACTCAACAATCCTCAATCTTGTGAGGAAAAGAATCCCCCATATGAGAGACAAACAGTGTGTGATGTGCTCTGAAGCAGCAGAATGATCATAAGTAAGGAGGCTGTGATCTGATTCTAGGTCTGCTGGAAACCCATGCTGATTCTTTCCACATACATGGGCATCATGGGCTTAAGATTAACAGAAAAGTCTAACTTTTCTGGAAAGTAAGTTTAAAAGAATACTTTCACATTCAAAGAAATATAGAATCTTAACATTTAAGAAAAACCAAAACTGAGAAAAAGTCACAATTACTGCTAGCTGTGAAAAAGAACCAATTTTTAGCAAACCAGCTATCCATGACACAGGACAGCTAGTCCTGTCCTCACTGAACATGTAAAATTACACTCCAGATGGCCGCTGGATGACCCCACTACTGAAATATGCTAGCAACATAACTCACATTAAAATCCAGAGGCCAAAAGACACTTGCAAAGTGCTTTACACATTTGCTATCCCTATCCCCAGCATATTCACTCAAACAGGCCACTTTCAGCAAATATGCTTTGATTTGTCCTATTCTTTTACACCACTCTAAATATTATATTTATGAGCAAGAAAACCTTCCTAAATACAAACATCCCACAACAATACTAGAATATTAGCATGTGATTTTGAACTTGTCTATTACATAAAAATATGCCAAAATTATGTTGCTAGAACATAAGTTATATATGTTCTTCCTACAGGATGAATATTCTAATACCTGTCCTGTGTTTAAAGAGTTACTGCATTTAAAATCAATCCTTTATGAACTGGATATGACTAGGAGAGGGCATAATGTAGTTTCTGAAGTGCTAGGAACATTCTCTGTGTTCCGTCTCCTGGGTCTTGGTTACATTAGTGTGTATACTTAGCAAAAACTCACTGAGTTTCACTCACTGAGTTCATCTGTGCACTTTTTGTAAACATATAGTCTCGGACTTAAAATAGTTCAACTTATAATTTTTCTTTTTTCTTTTTTTTTCTTTTCTTGAGACAGAATTTCACTATGTAGTCAAGGCCAACCTCAAATTCATGATCTTCCTGTCTCAGTCTCCAAAGAGCTGGGTTTACAAGTGACTACCACGCCCCTCTACAATTTTTCAACTTTATGATGGTGCAAAAGCAAATTGCATTCAGTAAATACAGTACTTCAGATTTTGATCTTTTTCCAGGTTAGTGAAATGCAGTATGATTTTCTTGCAATGCTGAGCAGAGACAGCAAGTGGCAGTTCCCAGTCAGCCACATAATCACAAGGGTAAATGAGCACTGTGTTGCTAAACTGCGATATTTAGTAGGTTAGGTGTACTAAATTTATGTTCAACATACTATGTGTTTATTAGGACATAACCCCATAAATTGAGAAGCACATGTATACTGATACTACCTCTTTTATCAAAGTTAAAGCCTAATGGAAAAAAACAGACAAGTAGTTAAGCAATTTCACCAGAGAACTATGATAGAAATAAGTCCTATGGGCCACAGCAGCACACAGGAGTGGTACCTAACTTAACCCAGGACGGGTTAAAGGAAAGTTTCCTGGAGAAGATACACCTGAACTGAGTTCTCAAGGTCAGACAGAAATGAGCCAAGCAAAAAAAGGGGCAAGAGGAAATAGTGCGCATAGAGACAAGAGGAAGCCAAAGTCCATTAAACATGCGTTAAAAAATGTAAGGAAGAGAGCAAGGGAAGAACAACCACAGAGCCTCAGAGGAGAATGATCTCATACACACGCCATGCTACAGTTAAACTTTTCCTTGAAAACCATGAGAAAGCACTGGAGATCTTTCAACTGGAAAGGACGGTTAAATTGTATTTATATTATCCATGTCTATTACGGTGCCTGCCATGCTTCCACCCACATTTTGTGGGAAGTTTACCTGCATATGGCTCCATAGCTTTTGTCATTATGATCCTGCTCTATACACATGTGTACATATAAATACACAGTCAACACTAAATGGCTAGAAGTGGTCACATAACCCAAGTACACAAGTTTGCTGGCAGCCAATGAAAAAGACCTGAGCTGAAGAAATTGTTTCTTGGGAATTCAAACCAAAAAAATCTTAGGGAAAAAAGAAGTTAGTTCAGGGGCTTAATTTTAGCCAGGAGACAGCCAGGAGGCCAGATGTTAGCATGAGTGACACAGTGTTGTAAGGAGCAGAAACTAGGAATAAACTGACTCTAAGACAGAGAGGGGAAAGTTGGAGGAGACAGAAAGAATAGCCAAAAAGAGCAGCTAACAAGAAGTTAACAACAGACACTAAAATGAAATGGAAATTTAGGGCTGAGAGGGTAGCTAAGTGGTAGAATGCTAGCCTAAGCATGCACGAGACTCTGGGGTTGATTCCCAGAACCACAATAAATAAGTAAAACCTGTCTTCCACTTCCAGCAACTTTTTTCAATTCCTGTTCTTGAAATCAAGTTGCTTAGCTTTTCCTGGGCTCCCATGTTCATGTTTCCTTTCAAAAAGCACTCCATTACTTAAGGTAACTTGAGTCTCTTCCTTGCCATTCAAAGAGCCTAACTAAAAGAGCGTTTTAGAACACTTGCTTTGGCAGCACTGCAAAGAATAAACAAGAGAGTATGACAAACAAGAAACAGAACACAGAAGGCAAGACCACTTAGAAAGCATTACAGAAGCCCAAGAGACATTCTGAGTTTAAAATAAGAAAGAGGTGCCTCCCGGTGCTTACCATGGGCTGTGTTCTTACACTGACTGTGTTAGAAGCAGGAGGCAGAGCAAACCTACCCCATATACACCTCAGCCCAGGCCCTGTGACTGGTGTGTATTGTGAATGGGGAGACGTGGGATGGCAGAGGGAAAAAAGTAAGAGTACTAAAAGAATAATAAGGAATAATCATGAGAAAGAAAGTGGGGCTTAAGTGACAGACTGGGTATCAATAAAAAGGTATACAGTGGAGTAGATGACGATTCAAGGGCTCCTGAGGGCTTCATGAGGACAGAGTGGTGCATTAATCAGACTGGAAATCAAAATAAAAAAAGAATTGCTGCAGTTTCTATCTGCCCCCACCCAACTGTTCTGAGGGCAACAAGAGGTAGAGAAGGGTTTTGTCTGTTTGTGCACTGAAGTGCTTCAAAATGTGAGGCCATGTGGAGATGCCCATTAGGCAGCAGTTTAAACAGAAGTAGAGCAGAGCACAAGAGCTTAGGCAGCAGCTGTAGACTTAGGAATCGATTCATTACATTGATAAGTATGTTTTAAAGATGTCTGACATCTTTAAATAATGTTTCTTTCAAACTAAGATAATATACCTAAAAATCACTCAATCTAAAAACCTTAATATTTTTGGCAAACCGTATTTTTAAGCCTCTGTTGCTTCTTCGCAAATAATGAAGATTGAACAAACATCTCTATAGTATTATCCAAATAATTAGGAAGATGGGGTTTATAGTACTAATTTCTTCTGAAGTGATAACTTCTTTAAAAAACAACTAATTTTAGCTGGGCATAATGGTGCAGACAGGTAGTCCCTGCTACTCAAGTGGCTGAGGCAGGAGAATCAATTGAGCCCAGGATTTTAAGACAGCCTTGGCAACATTTCCAAGACACTGCTCTCAATCTTACAAAAAAGAAAAGAAATCAGTTTACACTATTCCCCTCATGAAGTATACACCATTTAATTAACTAAGGGAAAAAAAACTGTTTAAAAGTCACACATTAGCTGCATCTGGTGGCTCACACCTATAACCCCAGCAACTCAGCAGGAGCATGAATTCAAGACTAATCTGGGCTACATAGAAAAACTGTCTAAAAAAAAAAAGAGTCATACATTAGACAGTGATTATCAATACTGATGCTACAGTTTTTAAAAGAACTTAACAATATAGATTGACATTTAACTTTACCTATACTTTAAAAATTGGATCGCCGTCCTGAAACCTTTCCTCCTATGATCTTTTGCCTGCAAAATTTATTAAGACCAACCCAGAACCTAATACTCCGAGTTTCAGCCACAAATCCAGTTATGTTCTGGTCATCTACATGTGAAGAAACTAGTCACCCAAACTCAACATGTCACAAATTGAACCCTTGTATCCCTCTTTTATAACTAAAATCTCACTCTTCCTTCACATAGCGCCCCACTCAGTGAAAGTCGAAGCTGGAAACCTATTTTCTCCTCTTTGCATCCTCTTCCCAATTACAAATCCAGTCAAACCACTAAGTCCTGTCAACTACTAACACCTGAGCTCAGACCATTATCATCATTTGCCTGGGTCACCCTCTGGATACTCCTGCCTTCATCCTTACTCTCATCTTCAATCCACCCTCCACACTGCAACCAACAACTTTCTTAAATGCAAATCTGATCATTTCAGTTCCCTGCTTCAAATTCTTCATTAATTTTTCTGATAATTATCATCAAAACTAGTTACGACACTCAAGTTCAGAGAGTCAACGATAAATTTAGCTAGGTTCAATACCAAAACAATCAGGAATTTTTTTTAAGTTGTGAAAGTTACTTAAATATACATCTAACCACTGATACATTTAAAAGAAAAGCATCCAGCATTGTTTGTAAAAGCCAAAAACTAAAAATAACCTCAAGTCCACCAAAATGGTATGTTATCCCAGCCAGTAAATGAGGCACTTCCATATATACTGTTATTGAATGACCACTAGATCCTTCTAAGGGGAGGGGGAAGCTACACAGAATACACAGTACACGATCACTTGTGTATGGTGTGTGTGTGAAGAACATAAGTATAAGGTTGAAATATCACAAGAAGGATGCAGAGAAAGTCAAACAGTGCTTGCTCTAAAGAAAGGGGGTAGGTGGGGGATGAAGAAGGAAGAGAACCTTTTGACTCACACTATTCTACTTATCACCTATAATTTCAATACGATTTTCTCCCTCTGTTACACACACACAAAGTAAAAAAATTTTAAGTACTATTTGTAGTCATTATTTGTGTCAACCCTACATGAACGTTAAAATTATGCACTGATCATCTGATTTAACATTGATGTAGACAGAGCTCCTTCCAAACAGCTCAGGTGTATAACCTCAAACATTTTCTCCAATATTTCGATACTATTAAGACATCAGTGAACACACTGTGATTAGTGTACTTGCTCCTTGGAGAAGACAGCAACCAAAGGTAGCAGAAATTATTAAAATGGCACTGAAGTCTTCCGAGATTAAGACCAGCTACAAATCTTATTTTTCCTAACAAGCTCAAAAACAGCAAACCCCAAAAACAAGCCCTCTGATATCCTCCAAAACTCGTGCAAAAACATCTACAGAAATCTCCGAGATGGAGCAGATGATACTATATGCAAGTGTGATGTCACTTAATCCTTACGGAGGCCCTGGAGTGTCAGATTTTGCACGAGTTCACTCGTTCTACAGATGAGCCAAGACGAAGTGCACGCCGAGTGACCTCATGGTGGTGGGTATGTGCTGTGCGGGACACACACACACACACGCACACACTCACTCCCTGCGCTGCCATGCCCTTCCCTCTCCTCCCTCCCTCCTTCATCAGCCGCCAGCCCCAAGGCTGCAGACGTGGGTCCCACGGCGGGGAACACGCTAGCAAAGATCCCCTGCCACATCTCTTCGGACCAGAGGAAGAGCTGGGGAGGAGACGCCTGCGGCTCCGCTTTCCTCCAGGTCTGCGATGGGCCTGGGGGGAGGGGAGGGGCTGGCCCCACATCGGCCAGGAGGTAAGAGCATCACTGCCCCGGGCGATGGCCGGCTTGGGGTGCACAGGCGGGGAGGGGTGGGGGCCGCCTTTGGTCGGGTCGGACCTAACGGAGTCTGCAGACTCTCCTAGGGGAGTCTGGGGGTGCTAGCGGGGGTCCCCCTGGCTACAGGACGGTGACAGAATCGCCTAGAAGGCGGAATGGGGTCTGGCCACTGGAAGACACAGGGGTGGGGTCTTCGGGGGGACCCCGGGCACAGCCGCTCGCGGGGCGTCTCCGCTGGGGCGGGGAGAGAGGGGGCGGCCCCGCGCGAGCCGAGCGGCGAGACGGAGACGTGGGCCGGGCCGGGCCGGGCCGGGCGGGCGGGCGGGCGGCAGGCCCGCGGGACGCCGGGGCGGGTCTTACCCCGGGCCGCGCCGCGGTGGCCACCACTGCCCCCTCCTCTTCGACGGAAGCCGCCTCCCACCCGTGGCCCCAGGGTCCGGCTGGAGGCGGCAGCAGAGGCCGAGGCCTCCGAGGGTCGGACGGTTCCGGCAGGGTGGGCCCAGCCGCCGCAGGGTCCGGGCGAGTGACCGCCGCGCATCCCCCGCCCTGTCAGAGAGGCTCCGCCCGGCCCGGGCAGACACATCCCCCCGCCGCACCCCGCCCCGAGAGCACGCGCTGGACCGCCTTCTCCACCGCGGGTGCCGCTTCTGCCCGTGCGGCAAGTACCTCCACCGCCGTCCCTCCCGGTCCGAGCACGACTGTCCCTCAGCCACCGCCAGACCGCCGCCGCGTCTCTGCTCTGCTCCGGCCCGCGCGCCCCCGACTACGCGCACGCGGCCCCGCCCCGCGCGACTTCTCGGCTGCAGGCGAGCAAGCGCGCGCGCGCTTACCTCCCACGCCCCCTACTGCCAGCCCCCGAGGCGGCCCCGCCCGGCCCCGCCTCCGCACGTGACGCCGCCAGGTCGAACAGACTGCGCTTGCGCGGACACGCCCCTTTTCCTCTGGGACTCCCCCCCCCGCCCCAACTTTTCGTCCTTACTTTACGGCAGGGCTGAGAACTCCACGCTAGCTTCTCCCTCTGCTAAACAGTAATGTCGCAAGGTTGAGGAAGGAAACTCTGGGTTTGCGACCTTAGCCCTCGCTTTCCGGTTAATACGGAGGTGCCTGAAGGCTGGTTGGGGTGGTGAGGCCCGAGGCAGGTAAGAAGCCTCCAACCCACTTGGGGTTTGTCTCCGTTTGTCTCGGCATGGATTGCTTTGCCCGCCACGGAAATTCTAGCATCTCCAAGCCCCCTCCCCATTCTGGCGCGGCATTCTCAGCGCCGCCCCTCATAGCTCCCGCCCCTTCCCCTACGCGCACGCCCTCCCCTCCCGTTTGCCCCGCCCCCTGCCTCCGTTTCCAGGAATGCTTTTACATTCATTCTTAAGACTTTTTACTGAGTGGGTTTCATGCGTTAAGTCCCAGGAATTCCGAAGCGAATGGAATGGGCTCAGCTTTCTGAAGTGCTCTGTTGTTTCCGAGACAATAAGAAAAATCCGCAGTGGTTCTCAGCACAGCAGGGGGAGACGGGGGGAAGAGGTCCCTCATTGTGCAAGAGCACCTTTCCCGGGTGATTTTGGGGTCTTCCAAAGGACTTGTGTTAAAATCTAGAGAGCAGTATCTAGTCAAAGAAATGGGAGAGGAGGTAGGAGTGGAGAAAATGACAGGCACAAAAGCATGTGACAGTGACCTGGAAGAGTTAAAAATTAGAGGATTACGATGTACCTAGTGAAACTCATGCTGGTGTGGACTTGCCTTTAAAGCGTCCCTTTAAGAGATTCGTTATAAAGAGTGAAAAGTAAAGAACCAGAATGCGGGCCCCAGAATAGTCTCTTTAACGATGGGAGACTCCCCGGCGTGGTGATGCAGGCCTGTAATCTCAGCTACCGGAAGGCTGAGGCAGGAAGATCTAAGTTTGAGGATAACCTTGGCTACATAGCAAACCTGCCTCAAAAGCAGGTAGGCATGTACTTCAGTAGTAGAGCGCTTGCCTTGCAACGCCTTGGGTTCAATCCTCAGTAGCACACAAAAAAAGGAGACTCTTAATCATGTAATAGACCATGAATCTGGAAGTGGACGATTAGAGGTTGAGAGAGGTTAAAGTATAGTGAGGGGTGCCAGCCATCGGTTTTCGGTATTTTTGTTTTTTGTTTGTTTGTTTTTTTTGCAGTACTGGGGTTTGAACTCAGGGCCTTACACAGGTGCTCTACCACTTGAGCCATGCCCCCAGCCCTAGTTTGCTTTTTGTTTTTCAGAAAGGGTCTCGCGGTTTTTTGATCGGGCTAGCCTCAGGGCCTCAGACCATGAGCCTCCTACTTACAGCCTCCTGCATAGCTGGGACCCACAGGTATGTGCCACCATGCTGGCTTATTGGTTGAGTTGGGCTAACTTTTTGTGCCCAGGTTGGCCTCAACCCTCCATCCTCACTCTCTCCGCCTCCCACATAGCAGCGATTTTCTGGCTCCAGTATGTTTTAAAGCTTTCCAGGTGACTCTAATGCTGAGGGTTGAGAGCCACAAAACTAGGGAGGAGAAAATGGGAGGTAGGAAAGAGCAGGAAGTTGACTCAGTGATATCCAGATAGGAATCGTTTGACAACAAAGTAGAAAATAGAATGACTAAAGTTTGGAATACCCGCTCTGAGAAACGAGAGAAGGGGAACCGCTTCTGTCTTTCCTTTCAGCAGAATTTCATCCCTATTCTTAATCGTTTACTACCTCAGTTACTGCTCTTTCCTGTCCCTTCTGCATCCAGGTTTCAGCAGCTTTGTCTCCAGTCTTCAAGCTAAGGGCCATCGAGTTTCTGTCCCCAAAAAGATTAGAGCAAAGCTTCTGAGGGTGACTGACATCCACTCCTTAGACACAACTGCAGAGTCTCTTGCCGTCTTAGAGTGTGTCTTAGCTTATTCACTTATCATTTAAATTAGCATCAAGTCACAAAGCTGTTTAAAATACAGCCCTGTTGGGGTCACAGAGTCAGGAAAACAGACCTTTGAACAAATAATTCTCTTAGCAGTCAGAGAAGAGCTGTATAAGGTGAAACCCAAGGTAGTATAGCTGCTGTCTGTTAACTAGGGTTAATCCAAAAACCTGCCAATCTGCCTGTCAGATAAGAGAGTTACTGTTGTCTGGTAATGCTGAAGCATGCTATGGAGAGTAGGGGTGGGGAAGAGATGAAGATGATACAAGTGGGTGTGAACAGATTAGGAGCTTTGAATTCCATGCTAAAGAACTTACATTACTATAAGCAATTAGTAGGTATAAATAACAAAGGTTCTTATCCGTTTTTACATTCTAAATCTCTTCAGCAGTCTGGTGTGTCAAGTTGATCTCAGAATATGGTTTTAAATGTATAAAATAAAAATACAGAGCTGAGGGCATGGCTTAAGTGGTAGAGCAACTGCACAGCAAGCGTGAGGCTCTTAGTTCAAACTCCATATTACCAAAAAAACCCATAAAAATATAAAGGAAACTAATGTTTCTTGAAAGTTTTTAAAATATTTTTTAAATGTGTAGTGTAGTTATTTATATACTTATTTATGCATTGACTAATGTGGCAGCAGGTCTAATTAATGTAATTTCAAAGTAGTGATGAGTAAATTTTGAGTGCAACAACTTTAAAGTGATGTGAAGATACCAGATTTCTGGTGGTGACAATGACAGAGGAGCTGCTAATACTACTGTAGTTTATTGCCATGTACTGAAGAAATTGCTAAATTTCAGCCACAGATTATTGAAAGCAAACATGCAAATGTTTTTCCTGACCCAAGTTCATAAAACCCTGAAATTCTAGCCACATCATGGTATATGGATCCCAGGTTTTAAAATACCCCAGTGTAATGGTTTTAAGCAAGAGCATCACAGGTCAGATCTATGTTTTAGAAAGATGGTAGAGCATTGTTCACTTCCCAACCTCTCTTGTGGAGGGAGTTAGGAACTGGTTATTTTCTTCTCCTTTATCTCTCTGGGGCAGCAGAGAGCCCACTCACCCCGTACTAACCTGCTATTGCCTAAGAGCCAAGGCCTGCAAGAAGGATAGAGTGGTGCATACATATGTAGGTGCAATACTAGGAAATCAATCAGGAAGGTAGATTGGGCTGTTGGGGGGAAATCATTGACTGACAATACTTAATCTGTACTTAATTTGGTAGACAACAGAGTGATGTTAAAATTTTTGAAGAATAATGTGATTAAGAGTTCTATTTGAAAAAAATAGTGTAGATAGTGTCAGGTTAATTATCAAAAGAAGATGAGAATGAGGAGACTAAAACAATAAATTTATGAAAACTGAATCTCAGGCTGGAGGTGTGACTTAAGCAGTAGAGTGCCTCCCTAGCAAGTGCAAGGCCCTGAGTTCAAGCACCAGTAACCAAGCACCAAAAAAAAAAAAAAAAAAACTGAATTTCAAAATGATCTTTAAAGAGTCTGCTAAATTACTTTATTTCACCAATGCATTGACCAGTCTAAAGAAACAGATTAGAAAAAAATTGCATGGCTTTAAACAAGGCTACACACCATTTTATGTGGAAAGGAGGCAGACCCACTCTTTAGTGTTATAATGACATTGTTGCTACTTCTGTAAAGCGATGGCCTTACCACATATATATTTGCAAGGACGTGAGTGAGGCCTTCCTTGATCAAATTCTGCCTATACCTGTGTGAATTGTTCATTTCTGACTTTTTAAGGCCAGGACACCTCTCTTCTTCCAATCCCTTAAACCTCTTGGATGAGTAAAGCTCATTAACAAACAAAAAGAAAGTCCACAAAACTCAAATAATCCATCTCATTTAGAAACTGATCAGTACTAAACTATGTTAAAACTTAGTACCAAAATCTCTGCTAGTGCCCAAATTATGTGCTTGTTAAGCATAATCATTAAAAAAAAAAAAGTTGAACTTGGGGGTTTCAGTATTACTAGTCCAAATGAGTAAAATTACTTAACTTCCAGATCCCGAGTCTCTCATAGGCCTCCTTGTCAGCATGATTAGCCTGTGTTGACTTTCTACCTGTCACGTGAGTAGAAGCCGTTTGGGTGGCAGTGTGGCTCAACACAGATTAAAACCTCAAGTTTATACCAACCTTGAGGTTCAGCTGTCTATCCTCTTTTTTCAGGAGGAGCTAAGAACATGTCTAGCTGAAAGCAGAAATGATACCTGAAATTTATGAAACTTTTTAAGAATTTGTATTACTTAGAGAAAATCTGAAAGTTCCTTTCTCTGGCTTTTAGTTCAACAGCTACCTCTTCAACAGTTATCTGTTATAAAAGTACTAGATCATAGTTATGACACCAAGACGACTTTGTCTCAATTACAGTGATTATGTTGAATGTCTGCATTATAGGTTTGAAAACCTTAGACCTATCTACCTTGATGACAAATGAATAAAATTCTCAAAATGGTCTGATAAATGCCTTCAGTTCAGGAGCTTGAGAATTTCTAGCCTTGGTTGGCTAATTTTCTCACAGCTGTTGTAACAATTTGGGTCTTTAGCATAATATAAAATAAATAATCGCTGGGAATGTTTAGCCCTACTGAATAATACATCATTCAAACTCAGTCAGAAACTCGCAAGTATCCTTTTTTTAAACATTTTTATACAAGTATTCTTGTTAATGGATATTTAAAGTCAAATCGGTAAGGCAGAAAGTTCTATATATTATAACTGTGTCCCATTATATCTCTTTTCCTATCAACACAGCACAGTAGAACACAGATTATTTCACTCATCACATTTTTATTGAGCCCCCACTATGCACCAGGCCCATTTTTGAAACTCATTAATTAGCAATTTGAAATTACAGTTTATCCCTTATCATCTGTGGAGAAAAAAAAAAAAGAAAAACTTGCCAGGCTTTGAACTCTACAGGACAGATAAAATTAAAAGATGGTGGCTTTTCAAACCATTTCAACAGTGTGTTTGCCAGTAGCTACCATGTGCTGGACACTGATCACTTATAAAATCAGGTGAGGATGCTTTTAGCTTGACCACATCTTATTAGGCTTCATTACCAATATGTACTAAAATTTTGTTCACTCCTTTATAAAATACCTTCCTCAAGATAGTTTTAAAATCTTTTTAAAAATTCTAATGGCCTCCCCACATACACCCTTTCCCTTGGTCACTTCAGAGTTTGCAGTTGTATAAAATCATTGCTCAGAAAATTTCAAACAAAATTAAATTGGTATAAGAAATACTTGATACACACCAAGTTTAAAGTGGGGAGGGACAAGTGACACAATTATAGATGGAACCCTTGAGATAGAAATAATAGATTAGGAATAAAGTTCTTTCCATGGTCCATGTCATCTTAGCCATTGATGGCTGTTACAGAACCGTAAGTAGAGAGCCTTAAAGGTCACCTGGTGTATTTCCTTGGCCCAAGGCATGACCAGATGGAGTTTATGGCAATAGAGTTACCAGGCATCATTATTACACCAAGAGGTTTTTCTGCTTTCAGAGCTGAATTCCTCTATTTGTGAAATACTTTAATTTATAAATTATTTCTAAATTTGAGGACATTTCCTGTTTGTGACAGTTTTGTGCTTTTAGGAGTTTTCCAAAATAGATTTCACTTCTGTATTTTGCTTAGGAAAAAATATTCACTTACTAAAAACTATCCCAGTTTGTCAGTCACTGAAAATATATGAATGAGTAAAATATAATCTTTGCACTCCAGAGGGTTATACATATCTTGTTGGTAATTTTTACATGCCACATGAAACAAATTTTCAGTGATTTAGGCTGGGCATTAAGAAGAAACATCCATTTGGGGAAAATTGAAACAACAACAACAAAAAAAAAAGCAAGCTTGAACTTCCTTCCTGAAAATGTTCCTGCTTCTGCTGTCATGAAAAGCAAACTGGTCTTGGATGTGATTCTCTTCAGGAGAGTGCAAATGGAATCAGATGTTAGAAGTGGAACATAATCCTCTGGTATTTGTAAATCTTCATGTCTGGAAGGTTAATGCAGAAGAGGCTGGACATTGCTTTTTCCAGGGGACAGGAATAAGACTCTTACATTTTAGGTCAATGTAAGAGCAGGAGAAGGTACATCTCTTTTTTTCCCCACAGATGGGAATAGTTGTACTTACTGTTTATATGCTCGTTATAAAAAGAAAGGAGAGAGCCCTGGAACCCATCCCTAGCACTGCCAACAACAAAAAGGAAAGAGGGAAAGGAAGAAAGGGGAGATTAAGTAGACTACCAAAGAAGTTATTTCTGTGATGTTTTCTCTTGGGGTGCTGGGGTTTGAACTCAGGGCCTTGTGCTTGCTAGGCAGGCGCTCTACCTCTTGAGCCACATTGGCAGCCCTTTTTGCTTTAGTTATTTTTGGGATAACTAAAATCTTC